CACATTAATTTTTAAAAAATTTTAAAGGGTATTACAGATCCTTTGTTTTTAATGTTGGCATTCCTTTTTCGGGGTTCACTGACTGTCAACAGTGGCGGTCCAATCTTCCCTCTCGTCCTTGTGCCAGCAGAGTTGCTCTTCCAGGGTTGCCAGACATCGCACAGTCAGCGAAAAAAGTCGCGAAGCTCGACAAAAAAGAGGGAAAATCGGGCAGCGGAAAAGCGGTTGAAGGGCGGGCATAACGTGCCAGAGAGAGCCTGTGCAAAAATAAAGCAAAGAAATAATTTTTAAATGCGGCTTAAAATTATCTTTGATAAGCGTGCCGAAATTTTCTCATATTTTTTGTTATACCCTCTTTTTCTTTCTTTTTTTGTGAAGCTGAGTAATTTATAGTCTCCTGAACTTGAGTCGCATTAAAAGGTTATTCTTGCCCAGATCAAAGAAAAGCCCCCGATTTGGGGTTGAGGGCGATTTTAAGCCGCTTAAAAACAGCGAGGTTGGGGAAATTATAGCAGGGATTAAACTACAAAGGAATACGGAATAAGGCATTTGATTTTATAGTTTTGTGCTGAGAAAGGGATAATGTTGAATTTGCATTGATATGGTTGTATTTATAAGGGATTAAAAAGGATTTGTAGACAATCATTAGGATTATTAAGAAAAGAATTAGTCAAGTATTTCGTTTGTCTTAAATTAATTCATTAAAACACCAATTAAATTTTGTAAAAAATGTTAACTTTAGAAATAAAATAATAAAATAAGTAAACAAGTACTGAAAAACTTAGACCCATGTCCGATTTAACCTTCAAAACCATCATTTTGTTAACCTTTCGTCCTCATTAGTCCTTCAACTTCTGTTGCCCCACTTCAGGAATTACACTTACTCTAAAAAGGAAAAAAAATCACTCGAGTTTCCATTGATTTCCCGTCTCTAGTACATCGCACTAGAAACAAAAACCAATCAAGGAGAACAAAGACAAAAAACGTAGGGGAGAGAAGGGGGCACACAAAACAAAATAACAAGAATCAAAAGTTCACTCTCTTCAACAACAACAATAACAACAATAATATGAAGTGGAGAAATCCACTTTGCACTTGATTTGTTGTGGAACAGACGCTAGACATAAAAAAAATATCCAGCTCACCTGCAAAAAAGATAAAAGAAAAAACAAAAAATAGCAAAATGAAGACAAGAAAAACTTGTTCAAGAAAATTTTCAGCTGCTATGAAACGCACTTGAAAGAAAATGCTGGGGAAATTTGGCAACCTTTAAATAAGTAAAAAAAACTTGTAAAATATTCTACAAGAAAAGGTAAACTGAAAAATTAAATAGTTCTTAGTTAAATTTAAAAAAAAGTATGTTTATTAAATATTTAAAAAACAAAGAATTCTATATTAGGCATAAAACGTAATTAATCATCTGCCTTAATTCTAAATATATAATTTTTAACCAAGTTATCCCTTATTTTCCCGACTGTTAGCCAGCTGTTACATACTATATTCTTCCCTTATTTTCTTCACTTTTGTTCAAGAAGTTTTGGCTTTGTCCTTGTCTGTGTCAAAGTGTTGACCCATGTCGACGCCGTCGCCGAAGATGATTTTCCCGCCCACTGTTTCGACCCAACGACCAACATCTCTTCCGGCGATCCCAAGTGAGCCTTCATTTTGAGGCTAAAAAACTTTTATAATAGATTTCAAATTTCCTCCGTCCTTGTAAATTCTCTGGAGTAATCAAGCAAATTAGTGAGTTTCTCGGGAGAATTGGAGGCGTGGTCCAGGCGCGCTATCTCTATGCCGAATTTCAAACACTCCCTCTTGGCTCCCTCGACAATTTTGCGGTCGGCAAATTGTTGACAGCTGCTCCAGCTCTGCAGGTCCTTCTGCAGATTTTCCTTTTTCTTCTCCTCCGACAAATGAAGATAAATGCTAAGAAGGAATGGGCGAGAAATGGGACCAAAGTTTACTTAAAAAATTTAAAGAGTGAAATCTTCCATTTGTAACTGGATTTCTGCTGTCTTTTTGGGGTGCATTATTGACAAAAAGAAGAACTGAAACTTTCTTCAGATACCCTGTATATTCACTGGAAATGGGTATATGAATTAGAGCAGAATTAAAATAATTTGTAATTTGAAATCCATAATAACCTAAAGAAGACTAAAATATTTTATAAAATAATTTAACAGATATATTGAAAATATAGGGTATTCCTTTGGTCAAAATGTTTGATTTTTAGTTCCTTATTTTGTTGCACACTTTTTGTTGATGAAGATGAATTGCAGTTTGAACTTTGATAGCAAAGTTCAGTTCGTTTTACTCGTTTGTTCCTTGTATGGTTATTTTGTTGCTTAGTTTGTTGCTTGGAAGTAAAGTTAAAAAGTTTGGGATAAAATTGTTGGAATTGCATGTTTTATTGGGTTCTAGCTGGACTTCGAACATACACAGAGAAAACTAAAAAAAAGTTCAATGCTTTTGTCACAGCTAAAATGAAAAATAAAAAAAAATTATAATTACATCAAAAAATGCGCCTTATGATGTGCAATATTTCAAAAAAAAATTATTTATAATTTATTAGGTTGACTGTGTTTTGTAAGAAATGCAATAATTGTGTCAAAGGGTCGTTGCAATTACACAGATCTTCCCCTGCTGCCCCTCAACTTTGTTTGCTAGTGGAGAGTGGCTTTCCAACTTTAACTAAATTAAAGTCAAGCCAAAAAAGTCAGGAAAGGGTTAAGCTGGCAAAGAGCGGGTGAAGAGTTGAAAAGTTTTCCGTCTGAAAACAAAGAGCAAAGAAGAAGTTCAAATTACAAAATGCAACAAAGAGAAGTCGCAGAGGGAGCGGGAAAAGGAGAGCGACCAAGTTAGTGGGACGGGATGACAAGAAATTGCCAAATAAAAGTGAAACTAAGAAATTAAGACACAATAAAATAAAATAAAACAGCAGCCTCGAGCAGCAAATTTTGTAGGTAGAAGACACAGGAAGATAATAAATAGAAGAGACACGGGGATCGCTGGCAAAGTAACGGTAATTACAGTATTACCTTCAAATTCTAAACCTAATTTGTTTTGAAAAACAAAGACATATACAAGAATAAATAAAGACACATACAAGAAACCTTAGTAATATTGTATTTTAATTTATTTATACGTTAATGTTGTTTATATAAGCTTTAAGCATTCAAATGAGGTGATTTCACCTTTCGATTTCTCAACGTCAACCCAAATTTCTAATTACGACCAAAAAAGCAAACGTTGCCATTATCCATTTGTCTACCTAGGAAGTCCAGCTCCTTGAGTGCCACGCCCTGTTATCCGATCCCATCCTATCTATCCTTCTGGGCTAATTTATTTGAGTCAAACACATACAGCTAAGTTTAACATAATAGGAGTGTTATTTTAGAAAAAAAAACCTATATAATCTATTTTTTCAATTAGAACTTTGGAACATATCAAGTATTTTTTCAGAAAAGCCTTCTTAAAAAAAAGGGCATTAATAAATTTTAATTATCAGACTACCATATATGTTACGATTGCTATTATCGTGCTCACACCTGTACGTGTAAGCAGACAGCAAACGTTTAATCATCAGGTGTGGTAGAGGTCCTTGTCCAAGTGTTTGCTCATCGCGTTTTAGCTGACCCAATTCCATCCAAAAGCTAAAATCGTTTATTTACACAAGCAAATGGCCATTAGGTTAATGCTATTTGAGGCTTACTCGCCCAGAAAATCGCCAAGGCAAACAAGAACGGTTCACTCAAGCCGAAATCGAAGTTGTTTTAAGTCCTTGCATTTCCTTTAATGTTCACTTGAGGATAAACGACAAATCACGGTATATCGCATTACACATAATTAAGCTTTGCACACACACTACCCACACCCTGTTAAGTTTATATACTCTTTAATGCGTTTAGAGATTTTAATTAACCATTTCTGTGTGAAGAAAACACAAATCAATTTAAAATTGAAATGTGAAATAAAAAACATTTCAAAATAAAAATGAATAATTAGGTAATAATTGAAAAATTGCTTGGATTTACTAAATAATAAAATAATTAACATATTTAGTTTGTAAAGGGTTAAATACGTAAATGCCGTTCTTTAATTAGAGCGAGATCTCTCTCAGTTTCTCTATTTTCCAAGCTCTTTCGTGCTTTAAGCTTAGCTAATAGCTAATCACCTGTCTCATTCAGTCCTACTTTATTATTGATCTCTCGCATCCTCTCTTGTTAATTCCTTTCCTCCTTCCACGCTTTGGTTGGAAGCCACTGGAAGAATTCCTTCCACTTGGCTCATGACATTTCTCCCTCACACTCGGATTCTCGTTCATTTGTCCATCGACGTTTGCTCGTGGAGGAAGTTCAGTTCAAGGAAGAGGGAGAGGACGACGAAGGCGCTGCATTTATATATTGAATATATAGTTTACTTTTTTTAATTAGTCACGTTCAGTTCAGAGTACCGAGAGTGTCGCCGTGTTAAGTGGAAGTATTTATTTAGGCCCTTAATTTAAATTTTTTCAACCCGACCTCGAGTGTCCGTGCGCGTTAACAGTAAACGTATTGGTATTGGTATTTTGATAGTGCAGCCGCTAAATTAGTTGTTTATTCGCGTCGACCGTCTACAATTGTATTTTGAGATCGCAATATGTTCAGCAGTCGCTCTTCGTTTTTGGCAAATCGCCGCATGATTTTTGATTTCTCTGAGAAAAACGACAGCGATTTGTACTTGGAGTAAGTTTATCTGTGTGTGTGTGTGTGTATAAGCTGGGTTTTTGTGTGGGTGAATCCTAGCTGTAAGTTTTAAAATTACAGTGAAGATTCGTTTGGGGATAATAAAAAATAAATTAAGCAAAACTATAATAACAAAGAATGATAAACTTGTTGTTTTTAATATTATTTGTTTAATATACATCGTATTTAAAACTATACTTTTCCCTTTTACCAGCCTTTATTTCAAGTATTCACTGTACTAACTGTTACTCTCTCTTTCACATTTCTCTTTTGCAGTGCATTTGGTATGAGCGATAAGAGCAGCAGTGCCACGAATAGCCTACCAAATAGCCCCGTGCATAGCAACAACAATAATCCATCTCTGCTGAACAACAACACCAGTAGCAGCAATAATAGCATTAACGGCGGCAACAACAACAATCCGAGCTTGGGCAGCACCAACTCACTGGTGACCGTTGGAAGTAACGGTATAATGTCCGCCGCAGGACTGGTGAACAACAACAACAATCCGTGCAGCGCCAATCGAAATGTCGTGAGCATGGACGATGATTCGTGCTTCCGTCTGGACACGGACACCACCGTGGTCACGTACGGCGAAAAGGAGCCGGATCCGGATAATATCAAAATGTTTGTCGGACAGGTGCCCAAGTCGATGGATGAGACGCAGCTGCGTGAGATGTTCGAGGAATATGGCCCGGTGCACTCGATCAATGTGCTAAGGGATAAGGCCACGGGAATAAGCAAAGGTAAGAGACGATGTATTTAATAAAAAATTCATTCATATTCATTTACAAAAATGTATATATTATTTTTATAGATTCTCAAACATTTTATTTTGACCCCATAATGATCAGCATCAACAGGAGTGTTAATCCAGTCTTGCCCGTTTGTTGTTGATACCTCCTCGTTGGTGTTCAATTTTAATAATCTAAACAAACTAAATATTTTCCGATTCTAAACATTTAAATTATTCCTTCCTTCGAATAATCACTGTACAATTGTTCTCTCTCTTTATTCCTGGCTTTTATCATCGGCCTGATAAATTACACTCGAATTTGTTGCGGTAAATAGCCGAAAGCTGCGCTAAAACTTTATCTCCCCTTGCATGGAAATGAGAGAGACTCGCAGACAAAATTAATATGAGATATTGGTCTAGCCAGAACACAAATACAAGCTTATATATGCACACACAATGTATGTATATGTGTCTTTCCATGTCTCCTTCTCTCCCTTTTTAATTGCATTCACATGCATTTGCCTCGCATTTGCCATTTCATTTCATCAGCAAATTGCTTTTTGTTCGCTATTTGTGTTTGAGCAAAAATTTCAATAGCCTTGAGCTTTGCTAATGGAGATTGGGGTACAATTTTGTGGAGGAAGAGATCATGCAAGCTTCCCTTTTGTATTAAATAATATAATTCAAAGTTTTAAATGTGCCTTTTATTTAAGAGTTTAAGAGACATGTTATTTTATATATTTCAGATTTACTTAAGAGGCCAAGAAATTTTGATTTTTGATTATATTTGAATCTAAATTGGATTTAATTTAAAAGTACTAGCTTCCACATAAAGGAAAAATAAAAAATAAATTTTTTCTTGATTGGCTGAAAACATGGTTAGTTTATATCGAATTTTTTAACCTCTGAGAATAGTTATTCAAATTTCAGTAAAGTTAGTATTCAATGTTTTAAATTTAATTTAATCAAATAACCAACAGCAGACAAAGGACATTCTTTTGCTCTTATTTTTCAGTTTGTCAGTCTTAAGTCTTCTTTGAAATTAAATGCTTTTCAGACGGATCAAACTCTGTTGCTTATCTTCCGCTCATAACTCCATTTCCATTATTCGAATATATTCATTGTTCTGTTCATTTCTCTGTCTCTTTTTCTGAGGCCTCTCAACTGCAGCAGTCAAGCTTCTATTTTTATTGATGTGCTCTTTTTCGCCATTCATTCATGATGGCATTTCCACTTCTAATCTTTTTCATTTCCAATTGCCATTTGGCTCAGATTTCTATTCATATTTCTGTGCAAAGAGGAGCTTTCATTCTGGTCTCGTCGTCCCATTGTGTTTTTGTATATTTTGTATTTCAAAAACATTTACGACGTTTTGTTTATTTTGTGTCATTGTTATTCTATAACCAACTGTCTATTTAGCTTTTCTATCCGTATTTTTTTTATTTTTTTGTTTTGTTGGCTAGTATTTCTAGTATTTCGCATGTGGTTGACAGGTTCATGCTTATTTTTGGGCGTTCCATTTCCTCTCTGGTCAGTGATGTCCAAAAAAGGGGGCGTGGCAATTGGGGAGGCGCCAAATCTGGGAGTTGGGAGAAAACTGTTTTAGAAGCACTTAAGTGGAGCGTTGTGTTGATGATTTATGACAAGCAACGAAAAGTAGTCACAGCTTTGCCTTTTTCACTCCCCAAGTGCTCATGTGAGAATGTTTGCTTTTATTGCTATTATTATTATTTTTTTTTGTCGTTGGCGAGAAGCTAAAAAGACTTGTGCAAGTCACAAACACAAAATCAACACAAATTGCATTTCAAAGTTATTATTTATGTCAGCGACAAGCGAAAAGTAGGCGGGTCCACTTTTTCTCTGGGCCTGCCAGTGACCCAAAACGAAATGGGAATAAAATAAAGTAGAAGTGAATTTTCCTCCTTCTTGGGTGACAAGCTCTGGTATAAGGTTAAAGTAAGTGTAGTTCAGGCTTTGAATTTAAGAAAAAATATTATAAAACATTTTTTTTAATACTGAAGAAATTGATTTATTTATTTAAAATTAGAATTGACGAACACTTACACAATCTTTATGCTTTACATTAGTCTCAAGTATATATTGTTTCAGATTTGCAGTTAGTAAAGGTTTTTACACAGTATTTCTTATTTGGAACAGATTTTTTCCTCCTCCATGATGCAACTTTTTTGGCAGCTTTTTTTTTTTTCTTGTTTAAGCCAACCAAACTTCCTGCTAACAACATTTCCATGTAGATGGCAAAATGTAACTCAGTTTCTGGCTACCAGTTGGCTAAAGGACCTCATCCATATCCTTAGACTTGTGCCACTTTTTTTTTGTAGCCCTTTCGCTTGCCTTTTGTCTGTTGCATTTTTCGGAGAGAGTTTTTAGTTGCTGTCTTGCTTTTTCCCCTTTAAACCAAACAAAATGCAAAATGACATTTTTAAGTGCGATGGTTGACCTCTGAACCAGAAAGTCGTAAATAACAAAACAAAAAAAAAAAAACAAAAATGTATCAACCAAAAAAATTCTTTTTCGTTTTGGTGGAGTATTTCTGGGCTAATGCTTCCTCTACTTGTACTTTTCCTTGCTCCCAAAAATTGTTTTCCTTTTTGGGCCACTAAATTTCGTTAGCGGGCAGTTTTTCCTTTGAGTTTTCTCCCAGTTTTTCTCACTTTTTTACTGTTTCTTTTCTAAGAATCGGTAGAGTATATTAAGGGGTTTTGGTCACTAAATTAAAAGTATTTCCCAAAATATTTTATGATATCGTCTTTTTTTTATAATTTGCGCGGATATTTTTGTATATAAAAATAACGAAAATTAACAGAAAACCTTGTTAAATAGACAATACTTCTGGTTACCGGGTATTTTATGGTCGACTACATCCCCTCACTTGTTTTGGACTTTCTGTGTTGTTGTGGGTGTTGTGGTTTTATGGCTGTTACCAAAAAATGTTGTTCTTGTTGTTGCACTGCGGCTAGCAGATAAAGGTGAGAGGTGTGAAGGTAAAACGGGAGAAAAGGTGAGTTAAAGGGGGTGCAAAGGTGAGAGGGACAGAAACTAGAGCGGCACAAGGTTAAGCGCCCGGGGTCATAATTTATTAGCGCTTGCGGTTCGGCCATAGTACTGGGACTATTTTCGGAATACAGGATAAATGGGCGCGATGCCGTTGGGTGAAAGAGGAGGGGGCGAAAAAGAAGCGAAGCATAACGGCAAGGATTTTCTGCGGTTACCGTTTCAGATTGTTTCAGGCGAGTTTGTGGAAACAGGTAGCTTTTAATTTGATATTGAGTGAGTTTCCGTGGGCTGGCAGGAGCGTTGAGGGTGATTTGTAAAATGTTTCTCTGCCGTTGTCAAGTCAGTGTCAAGTTCTCTGCGGCTTTTGTGGCCAACGAAACGAAGCCAACTAGGATATAATTAAGATTTTCTCTAGGGAAAGTGAAATGTCGTTAGAATTTAGGGTGAAATTAAAATAAATTGCATTTCCGGTCAACAATTAAATTGGATGTGTTTAGTTTGCAAATTTATTTGTAACATAAAGAACAGAAAAATTTTATGTTTATCAAGTTTATAAATCTCTGTTTGAAATGACATTTGTAAATATCTTATTCTTGGAAGTTTCATTAAAAGATTCTAATTGATTAAAACTAATAAATAATAATGAAACTTGGCTTATAGTTAAATTTAGGTCAAATTTGCTCTTGAAAGTCTTACTGCATAAACATTTTAATTAAAGTAATGCAATTTAAAGTCTTGCAATCCCACAATAAGTATTGCTTTTAATGCTTTATCTTAATCCCTGGTATTTTCATAGCCTTGAGCTACTGCAGATAATCCTCTACCCTCGCCAGATTCAATTGTGAGAAGTTCTCACTGAGAATTTATCTCACCCCAAAACAAGACCATATGTCACAGTTCCACATTAAGAGCGGCACGCCCATCCGAACCCCAATGCCGCCCACTTTTTTAGTCCGGCCTGTGAAGTCTGTGATTTATGACCGCTGCCGCCTTATAAAAAACTAACTCGCTGACCAAACCAGAAAAGGAGAAACTGAGAAAAGCAGATGAGAATTCACCCGAGGAGCAAGCAAAAGAAATAATATAATTCACACTGAGACTGAGTTAGAAATCGGGGTTAAGTGGGGTTTTCTTCTGGGAGTGAGAATGGGAGTTTAATGGAAAAAGGGGAAGTTTGGTCAGTTAGCAGATTTTTGTGCCCTCGTTCCCATTTTCGTTATCTTTCGGTTTCCTTGAGAACTTCAGTTTGAAAAGCTTTTCCCAACTCTAAGACCAGCTGTCCGATGTCTTCCCGAAAAAAAAGGAAAAGTAACGCACTTATCTAACGCCTTCATCGGCCTTTCCTTACTTTTCTCTTTTTTTGTGTGTGTTTTAGGTGCCTTCTCGCAGGAACTTTGTGCTCTTGACATTTTTATTTAGCTGCTGCACTGAGCGTGAAAAATGCATAAAATTTCATTTAATTTTATTTCGCACCCCTTGCGTTTTCTCTGTTGGAAAAAGGAAAAGCGAATTTCAATTTCAAATGCAGACTCTAGACTCGCACAGTTTGAGTTTATGTAATTTTTTCTTCTTCATGTAAAATAGGAATTTGGTCACGACTTTTAGTTGCCACTGAAGAATTGCAAAGCACTTGTCACGGTTGAGGTTGAAAATCCTGGAATAGTTATTATTCCTGATTAAATACTATTTCTTAAGCAATATATTTTTTTCCCCATTTTTCAGTGCAGTGTCTGTTCTATCGCTCATATCGAATCAGAAATAAACCAAAGTCCAATTGCATTGGTTTGTTTTAGTTGCATTCCGTATCCTGTCCAGGAGCAGCTCGTCTTTTGTTCCTTTTCGTTTTCGTGTTGCTTTGGCTAGAGTCAGTAAATCTGTGGGTGGAAAAGTTTAAGGACATTGATTTATTTAACTTCGATTAATTCGTTTCGTCCACAAGCGCCGTGTGTCCAAGTGTTGGTTCTTTATGTGTGTGTGCATATAGATATATCCCAGGACATGTATATATACGTGTGTATCCTTTCTGCTGGACTTTGGCACGTCTTGTCTGGCGGCTCTCGATTTCATCTTCCTCCCACTTGCCGGGATTAAGTTCTTTTTGGCCAAAAACGTGACTGGATGTCGTTTTCAGCTTTATTCCCGCCGCTTCTATTCCTTGGGTTTCCTCAGATTTTTCTTTAGTTTTTCCCGCCTTGCCTTGCCTCTTTTTTTTATCGCATTGTTCTCCTTCGTTGGTAGGTGGGTGTGTGGTGTCTTGGGTTTGATTCTAACTGCAGTTGACATGCACATAATGGGAATTGTGTGAGATTTTTCTTCCTTTTTCTGCGTTGTTTTGATGCAGTTTGCCTCCTCCTTCGTTATCGCTCGATTGCTTTCCTTATCTATCACTCCTCCTCCGTCCTCGGCGACTATGTTTTATTGCATTCCAAATGGTTTCGATTTTCCTTCATTTGTTACATTTAACGCTAGTTTAATTCTAAGTGATATTTAATCTGCGCCAGCGAATTGAAATTGAAGTCGAGTTTAATTTGATCATTTTTTGCTTTCATTGCTTTTAAGTGGAACACGATATTTAATGAGGGGAAAAATAATACGGTGGAAAAAGCTTTTTTATTCTTGGAGAAATATGAAAACAATCACAGCTTTTTAAACATTTTTATATATATGTATTTTTGAAAATAAGAAAATAATTATAAACTCAGTTAAATTAGTTTGGTTTCATTTAAAGTACGTTGTGATAAAACTGGTTAAATGTTTTGACATTAAAAAAGATACAGAAAAAGGTCACCGTCCCATAATTCACTCATACACATCGGATGTGGCGGGCATTTCTCCATCTAACCTCTTCTTTGCCGGATATTTAACTGCAAAAAAAGACGGAGAAAACGAAACGAGAAATGAAAATATTTGCAAGCAAATATGTGAAAAATGCTGAAAAATGTTGCCTGGCGCGCGCGTACCTGTGTGTGGCTTTGGTGACATGGCAAAAAACTGCGACAGATTGAATTACCTGTGTGGCAAATAGTGGGCGGTATTTGGCTGACGGGGTGGGGTGTGGCTCCCTGTTTCACCTGGCCGAGTAGGACGAACCGAAATGGTCACCACTAAATGCCGCCGATACGCTGGTGGGTAATTGCATTATGCAACTATTGCCGTATTAAGTTTTGTTGTAACCATCGCTGCTGCTGCCATCACACACGGTTGCCCATGAGATTGGGGTTGGGGTTGGGTTTTGGTTTGGGGCTTACGGAAAATGGTGGGAAAGTACTGGGAAATGGGATGCAGGGAAATGTGTGCAGAAGCCGGAAATGGATTTAACCAAACCTATGTATCCCAGTGTGTGTGTGTGTGTGTGCAACTTGGCCACAGATTTGGCATATAAAAGAAAGGGAATTCCAGCCACATTCAAAATGGAACCAACAAAAAATGTATTTTGGTGAAATGGAAATGGAATTTTACACGTAACAGAGGAGTGGAGGGAAAAAAGTGTGTTTCGGCTGGAAATTTAAAGGTGTTGTTTGCATGAGATAATTATTTGTATTAAATATTTAAAATGTTTTTTTTTTTTACTTCACTAATTATAAATTTGTGTTAAATATGTTCGAGTTAATATTGCAACTCGTAAAAACAAGAATGCAACTTCAATTAATTAAATTTATATAATGTTTTGAATGCCCCAAATAAATGTGAAATTTACACAAGGAGTATCAATTAATTAAATTTATATAATGTTTTGAATGCCCCAAATAAATGTGAAATTTACACAAGGAGTATACGAGGGCAGAATGAGCACATTTGTACGCTAATGTTCGACTTTAAGTATCACTTAATATGCTCGCCACACTTGCCTTCAACTCGAACCCTCATAAATATCAACACCTTCGCTACCCTTTTGCCGCCCCCCTTAAAACACCCCCAATTCTGACTCCACCCACCCCATATTACCACTGAAAACTTGCTCTCCAATCTCAAACGCGACACATTTGTTAGGGCCATAATGTTTAATTTAGTGCCAGGCTGTCATGTTGTTGCCACATTTCTTGGGTCCCCTTTAGGCACGCCCACGGCTTCCGCTTCCTCTTTTCACACTTTCGAAAGACTTTCCCTCCTGCCTGGCGCCTGGCCTGCCTCTTTCCCTTGCTAATAATAATAATTTTCATAATTTCTTTGTGCCACCTTTTCCGAGGCGGGCGACACTCGCTCGTTTGCCTGAAAATAAAGTAGAATTTAACCCCCATGCTAATCCTATACCTTTTTCCTTATTTTCCAGGTTGCTGCTTTGTGACGTTCTATACGAGACGAGCCGCCCTGAAAGCCCAGGATGCTTTGCATAATGTTAAGACGCTGAATGGGGTAAGGAATTTTGATTTGTATAATGATGTTATCACGCCCCACCTGCTGCCCTAGTTTTAAGCCATTTTCACAAGTTGTAGACATTTTGCATTTAGATGAAAACTTGCTCTTTGAATGTTGGTAATAATTTGTGGGATTTAAAGCCTTAGTCTGTAAATCTTATGCTCTTACCATGCTAATATTGCAATTCAAAAATAATTAAATGAAATAGAAATAAGGGTACTCTAGGGGTTTTTAGCCTGAAATTTGCATCTGTCGTTGCAATGGCTGCATCCTTCAAGTCTTAAAGTGTAGATGGCTTTGATGAAAATGATAGTCTTAACCTTTAATTGGAATTTTCGCTGATCTGACACAAACAAGGAAAAACTCTATAAACTTATCATGAAACGCTATCATCCGCCTGACAGGACAACACCAGTCGAAGGAGAAGGGGAGCCAGTCAGCCTAGCCGGCTGTGAATGGAGGAACTGGGAAAGCGGTAGCAGCAGCAGCAGCATCATCGTCCTGATTCCTCTCTCATCCTTCATTATGGCTAACTGACTCGCTGACTGACAGATTGACTGGCGTTTGGACTGACAGAGCCATGACACCGCACAAAAAAATAAAAAAAGGTTCCGGGATAAAATAAAATGCAACGCAAGGGAAAATATTTTCGTAAAGTGCCGACAAAAAAAAAATCGTGGAACGTGAAATTCTTTCCCCTCTATTTTTCAATATAGTTTTTTTTTTCTTTCGCCCGCCCCGAACATTTCCCTATAAAATGCAAGTAATTTCAAAAGTTTAGCCCTGTGTCCTTTGGCAGCTTAAAAATAAAATAAAGAAGAAATACAAAAATAGCGAAAACTGTTAGCACAAGACACGCGCCAAAAGTTCTTTCGTTATGTCTCTTGACTATTTCTAGAGGATGTGATGGAATAGTTAATGGGTTCGGGAATTATAAAGTGGTAATAGATATTAAAATACTCTAAAAAATAAACAAATCTAAGAAATATAAAGCCATTTTTAGGTAGCATAACCTGAGGATAATTTATCCCTTAACTAATTTTCCCTAATTGTGAAGGTATATAAAATATAAATATCTCATATTTATAGTTTAAATAACTATTTAGGATATTCTATTTGTCGATCACTAGGGATTCTTTTTTTTTTTTGACGGGAAGAGAGCAAACCGCAGGCACAAAAATGTCAATTTGCACTTTGGAGCAGCAGCAAAAGCAGCGGAAAAGCAGAAAAGCAAGCACGGAGTCCTGGAAAAGTTGTCAGCACAAGAAGTGCAAAGGGAGAAAGATATGGTAAAAAGTAGGGTCTACTGGGAAGAGGTCAGAAGATAGGGAGCAGCAGCCGCAGCGTCAGCAGAAGGGAGCGACATTTGGCAATGTTGCTTTTTATTTTTCGGTTACCACTTTTTGTGTTGGCCCTGCTGTTGTTCTGCCCTTTTTTCTATAGCGCCATCAAATAAGCATTGAATATTATTATTATTTGAAAGCCATGTGTTAGCGCTGGCTGAGAGGGGAAAAAATAATGGGCCAACAGGAGGGGTTTGAGGGGAACGGAAACAGAAAGACTGGTGGAGGAGCAGGAGCAGGAGCAGGAGCTTTTCCAAGGGACAATGCTTATGTCATCACGTTATCGGCTTCAAAAAGAGGAACTGACATAATTTGCATGTTGCTTCGTGGCTGCAGCTGCGATATTTATTTTAGAAAATTGCCATGCAACGCGCGCCATGGGGCGATAAGGGGTTAAGGGACATGTGCGTGCTGCATTTTGAGTCTCATCGTGGCTGTTGTTGTTGCTTTCCCTGCTTTTGGCAGTTCAACTGACAGGCTTTGACGTTGGCTTGTAATTTTCTTGCACAATTTGCGATTGTTATCGAAATGTGGAGGGAAATGCTTTTGGAAATTCATGTTGATTGGTAGAATGTTGAAAGGAAATTTACATTTTTTGTTCAATTTATTTTTGCTTAAAGCATAGCAATATAGATTAAATTAAAATAGTTTACTGATATCTGGTTACTTCATTTAAACTTACAACCTTAAAGAAGTCGTAGTATTTTCTATTTCTATTCTTATTTCTATTCTTATTATAAATAAGACCCATCTTTTTCCGATATTTACTTTCCAATCGATTAATTTCGCTTCGTCTTTATGTAATCGATAACATATAGCTTGGCATTTCACAAGCTGATTAAGTGCAGACCAGCCGATAATTGCCCCAATAGAAAACAGTTGCCGGCAATATTTCAACCAGTTAGGCGAAAGCCAGGAGAAAGTCAACCACAAGAGCGGTTGACAAAGTGAGGAAAGGCGCAGGATTTCCTCAGCTAACCAACGCAACCCACTTTCTTTGCCCCTCCTTGAAGCTCCTCTAGCTTTTGCCAGGTGGGGGGCGTGAATGCCGCCTGTGTTTGACTGGTAATTGCTACTTCCTGCATATAAATAAATTGGCAAAATGAGAAGGGGAAATGGTAGAGCAAGAGGTTGACTTTGGACTGCAATTTGTAACCAGTCGCGTTGCGTGTATTATTTACGGCCAAAAGAGGTTGGTTGCTGGTGGAGCAAGAAGCGGGAAAGGTCGGGGAAAAAGGAGCTGGTGAAGGGAGGCACAAGGACATTGCCTTCTAGCGTAGACTGTCGTCGTTCTCTTGCTGCTCGTTTGCCAATAAATCACGCGCCATTAGCCACCCAGTAGTTTGCCTTAAAGGTGTTGGCGTGACACATTCAAGAGTCCGTGTACTTCTTACGAGATTTTCCAGATTTTTTTTTCGAATTTCCTTTAATTAAACGAACGAAATATGAGCTATAAAAATATTAAAAAAAATAAATATAAAAGACCAATAGAATAGATATTGAAATAATTAATAGTCTTGTCGTGTCCTCAACTCACGCTCCCATCTCTAACTAGAGAATGCAGCCTGACCTCGCGCCGGTTTCGTGGCCTCTTTGGTGGCGTAAGAAGGCGTGGCTAGGGACAGGGAGCTTTAAGCTTGTTTTAATTAGAAGACGGCGCTGTGTGCGAAAAATTACATTTAAAACACGCTGCAAAGTCCAACACATATTTTAGGATTTTTGCACATAGCACCAAAACCCTTCTTTACCCCTTTCCCTTTTTTTTTGCCAACGCCGCCCGTGTCCTTTTTAGCGACCGCTGAATAAATGTGTTTGGCTTTTGTCAAGGATTTAGGCGGAGGCTTTGTTCCATGTCCTGCGAGACTCCCTTTGGCTTTGCCTGCATTCCATTCATTATGCAGCTTAAGTGGGAAGCCTAGATGGTGACTCTGTGGGGCATTTTCCACACCGCCCTTACATTTCCCAACCCCCTATTCCACACTTTCCGGGAACTGCAGTCCCTTGCCGACGTTTTTGGCGACTGCATTTTGGCCCTAAGCTCTGTAAATTAATCGCGACCTTCTCGTTTTTCGAGTGGAACCACGGAGCATATTGCGCTCTAATATTTCAAATGTGATTAACACGGGCAGGAAACGGATTTGATTTTAACAAGGGAAAATGAAGGGATTTTGGAAAGGGTTCGTGATGCAATGGCAGCAATATGTTGTGCCTAGAACTTAATTTTTAAGGATAAGAGAAGTTTGACATTATTCAATTATTTTCTATCATTATACAGAAAGAAATTTAAGAAGCGTATACAATTTTTTACTGCAAATTGAACTGATTAAACTTTTATTTTATATATTTTAAGTATTGGCCTCAAGACCAAATCAAATAATATTCTGACAAATTCTAATTAAATTTTTTGATGTATTTCCATTTTATTTTAGATGTATCATCCCATCCAAATGAAGCCTGCCGACAGCGAGAATCGCAATGGTAAGTTTTTACTCATTTTCAAAAACAAATTAAGCTAACAGAAAAAGTAGAAAATTTTGAAAAGCCCACACACACACTCTTCACACACACAATGCGGTGAATTGATGCGGTGTGTGTGGGCGACTGAAAGTATGCCAAAGCCAAACTATTTCCACTGCTAACAAATCAACAGAACGCGGCACAAAGTGACCAGCGAGGCGTGTGAAATATGTGTGCAATTTTCTATAGAAAACTGGAAACGAAACAGAACAAATGTAGGCTTAAAAATTTTAAAATATTAATTGAAGTGATAAATAAAAATCTATTAAATATATACTAGAGAGATTGTAGTACAGAAGAGGAATAGTAATAGCTTGGCGTTTAAAACCTACATGTTGTGAGCACTTGAGGAATATTTTTATAAGAAATTTATAATTTGAAAGGAATACTAGAATTTTTATGATAAATTTAGTTGTAACAAAACCTACAATTCAAGCATGACTTTCAAAAGTTCGATACCAGTGTACCAAATGTAGTATAGTTTTCACAAATTCACAAAGGCAGCAACAAGGACGAATGAAGCGAAAGAGACAGACAGCGACCGACAGAGACAGAGCGTGACTGAGCGAGGGACAAACTGAAAGCGATCACAATTCCGTGGCCGTGGAAATTGCGTGCGAAAAACGCGGCCAGCCTAAAAGCGGGCAATAGTATTTGACAGTTTTTATTGGCAATGGTCAACGTTGAGTGTGAGGGATGAACCGCGTGACAGGGGAACGGTACAAGGAGGCAGTATAAGGGAAAATTCCGGAAAAAAAGGGAAACAGCGGCAGACGAAATTGCTTCCAACATTTCACGGATTTTTCATCGAACTCTCATTCGCGTGCTCCTTTTGTTTCATACTTCGTTGTCAGCTGTCGGTCACTTGGCAGTTAATTAAAAACCATCAATTATGTGAGCCAGCAAAAAATGCTTCACCAAAAAAGCAAAAAAAAAAGAGTTTAAAAGGCTGACGACAAAAAATAATTCCGAAAAGTTGGTGAGCATATTTTAATTTATGTTAATTTTCAGACAGGAAGCTTCAACCCGCCACCCTCACTTGAGGGGCTGCTGCTGCCTCTCTTCTTTTAATTACACCCATGATATTAATCTGCTTAAGTGACCACAAAAATGTTGACTTTTAAAGGGGCGAAAATGAGAGAGGGGGCAAGGGCCAGGCAGAGAAGACTGTGGCGAATGCCACTTTTTAATTGGGCGACCTCTGGCGGCGGCGTTTATTGTTAACAAGCTGTAACAAAAAATTTAAAAAAAGAAACTGAAAAACTGAAAACTGGTGAGGAAAAAGTTTACCCAGCATTTCGAGGCTTCCTGGCAGCAGCCAATCTCATTTCACTCGCCACCCACCGAAAACACTTCCCCAGCTTCCCCCCTTTTGAGCTGCATGTAATTACGCTTGTACAACATGTCGTATGCTTAATAATTTTTTGAACTTTTTCCTCGGTGTGTGTGCTTAACTAATTTTTTTCGTGTATTTTTTACACGTTGATGGATAAGCACACTATCATGGCGGTAATGAGGAATGGAGAAAATAGAAAGGGCAAAATTATGTTAATTAAAGTGTGAAATTTGGGTAGGAAATTTGTAAATATGATCTAGATTTTCCTAGTAGATGAAGATACATGAAAATAAAGTGTTGTTTAAATTTATCTTTATGTATATAAACTCTTCTAATACTTGATTTTATAAATTCCTTTGCTAGTTTTCGTACAAGTTTTCTAAATTTATATTTAATCACATATTTATTTTGCAGTATTGTTTCAAAATCTAGTATTTGTGGGTGGGGCTTTTCAATTTTAGATAAGCCCTTTGCCAGAGACCGCCCGCATTGCGCCTAAAACAAATTCAATGCAAATTTAAGTTGGACACGATCCAACATTTGCCGCATTATAGACAGACGATGTCGACGGCGACGGCGACTCCCCGGCACACACCCAGCGAAATTGCAATTCAATTCAATATTCCAAACTAGACAGAGAGAAATGCTGTTTGTTTCGTGATTTGGCACTTTAACCTCGCCAGAGAGCAACAAACAGAAAAGCAAGCAAAAAATGCTAAATAAAAAACCGAAACAAATACAACTGACAAAGTTCTTTTGCTAGGAGCGCCCAACAGCGGAAACGATATAATAGAAAAAGATGGCAGGAATATTTTTTCCAAAAAGTTATTTTTTATCATTTTTTTTTTCTGGTTTACCGCCAGGGTTAAGAGAGGAGGTAAAAGAGGAAATCGGGGGGTTAGTCGCACAGTCTAGAAATCGAAAAAATATATATACATATATATAGAAAAGAAGACACAGTCGTCGCATGGCGTCGTTTCAAACGTAACAACAAACGGAAGGTGGCAATTTAATAAAATGCTTGAGTGAGTCGCCGAGTTTTGTTTCCTGCTTGGCTCTTGCTTTCTTAGTTCTCTTTCTGAACCTCCCAGCTTACTCCCAATTTTTCTCAGCTTTTCCACCCGTTTTACCACCCACCAAAGTGTTGCATACTTTTTGGCTAAGAAGGACAAACCTCTGATTGGTTTTCTTTGGCCTCGTTCGACATTGTTATTCCTGATTCTTCGACTGGGGTGTATATATATATACACACATTTTAAAATAGCTCTTATTGAGTGCTCTAGTCAAAGGCTTGAAATAGCGTGGGAATTGCAGCAGACTTTCGAGAAATAATGCTAAGTTTGTATTGATTGTATAAGTACCCTTCGGGGAATTAATGGGCTCTTTATGACTGATGAAAGTAGAGTCGTGTTTTATAGAGACAGTGGGTGGGAGTCGTAGAACTGCAATTACACTTTAAATATAATTTAAAGCACGAATAAGTGATGAATAATTTGTTACTGCCAAATTTCCTTTCAATAAGAACCCATAAATAAAACCAAATTTTCCCGATATCCTTACTCAAAAAATCAAATAAAATTATCCTCAATGATTTGTTGTTTACCTTTGATCTTTCATCACAAATTCAATCAACGATTGCACCTCTCTCATACCCCCCCATACACATAAAACCACAAGCCACGAAAAGTGCTTTCTGGAAAAACCCTCGCTACCATAAATACCGAACAAATGACTTCTCATTTCCACCCAAATGGTGGCAAAGGGAAAAAGAAGAATTGCATTTAAATTTTATGACACTTGGCGGCGACTCCCTAGGTTTTTCTTTCCTCTGAACCTGAAAAGAAAAATCAAGAGAGACCCGAAGGACGTAAATACCTCAAGGAAAAGGGAAACAAAGAGAATTTATTGTCCAAGGGTAGAGAAGTGCATAATAACGGCGATTTGCATTAGGTTAAGTAAAAGGGAACGCTGGCAAACGAGAGACAACAGCAAAATGCGCAAGCAAATCAAATGAGTAAGCAAAAGTGAGGAAAAGGTGGGAAAGTACTGAGCAAGGTGAGAAAAACTGCAACGCGGTAATCAGAGCAATTTACATGCAAGCGAACTTCAAACAGACAACGACGAAAATAGGATGAGGGATGGGATTATGGAGAAAGTCAGGTCGAGGGTTCCGAAAGTGTTATTAAATTTTGAAAATATTCCGCATTTTTCCTTTTCTTTTCATTCTTCTGTGGGGTTGCAGCAAAATGAATGCTGATGAAAATTCGGAAAGTTTATTTTTACAGCAACAAAGTTGATATTGCTCTTTGTGTATTTTATTAGAAGTATTTTGTCTTAGGATATTTTTATCTAAGAAGATTGAATTCTTATAATGAAAACCCCTTTGATAAGATTTTTATTAATCAAGGTTTTTATATAATTTTGAATATAATTATAAACTATTAACATGCTTTTTGATGATTGGATTACTTTAAAATTTATTTTAAGACTCAAAACCATAACCTTATTCGTCTTAAATTCATACATTTTCAAAAGTAAGAAAAAGTGACAGAGCAACGAAGGAGTAAACATCTTCATGTTTATTCCATACAATTTCGTAGAAGCAGAAAAAGGCACGATTGCATTTACTCTAGAGATGGGTGGAAATGAATGGGGGTGACGACAGCAGTAGGTTCGGTAGAACGAGAGGTTGTGGAAAAGTCGCGGGAACATATGAATTTTTCCTTACTGCATATGAAATCGATATGCAAATGTTGTGCGAGGTTTTCCCGGCGTCAACAACAGCAGCAGCAGCTCCTTCCTTCTGCCACGACTATGATGACGATGATGATGATGATGCACGTATTGTTTGCTTGTAAACATGATAAAAATTCAAATTAGCCATTATATATGGCAAGTCAAGGAAAGTCGCAAGGCACAACCCTCCCATATATGAGTCTTCATTTTGTGGCGCTGAAATGCAAAATGTGCCAAGAAATTACGGCAAAAAGTTTTGCCAGGGGGTAACACGAGTAGGGAACCTTGAACAAATTACATATTGTATTTGCATTTCTAGCTGTCTGGTTGGTGTGGAAATCAATGAGTCAACCAGAAGGTGAAAGTTGAATGTAAAGTATATTTTATAAGGATGATGTCTGAAGGACAAGAAAGGTTTGAGATGGTGCGAAATTATAGTTGAAGAAGTGATTTAATTATTTAACTAATACAAGAATATTCATAGTTTATTATCATATTTTTAGATATTTTTCATATACAAAACTTGTGTTCTCTTTATTTTTCGTTTCCCTTTCAATCCTCTAACTTTACCTCGCACTTTCGGAGTGCGTGTGTGCTTCTCTAAGGTTCTCTCTAAGCCAACTTTTTTGTGAACAACAAAGTGGCATCGCAAAACTTGTTAATTAACTCATTAGCATCAGGTGGTAAGGTGTACAGTGGGCGCATGGTAGACGCGAATGAGCAAAGAATAAACAACACACATTCATCAAATGTGGATGAGAATAAAAAGTAAACTAAGCTAAACCAACATTAAAAGTCATTTAAAAGAGCTCAGCTCAGGTCCAACAATTTCACAACGAAGCCCAAGTTGCTAATCAAGTTTTTCCAGCTGAGAATCATCTTCGCTTGA